GCTGCTATTTTTTACTCGTTTAGCGCCCTATTGTAGCTGCTATTTTTTACTTGTTTAGCGCCCTATTGTGGCTGCTATTTTTTACTTGTTTAGCGCCCTATAGTGGCTGCTATTTTTTACTTGTTTAGCGCCCTATTGTGGCTGCTATTTTTTACTTGTTTAGCGCCCTATTGTGGCTGCTATTTTTTACTTGTTTAGCGCCCTATTGTGGCTGCTATTTTTTACTTGTTTAGCGCCCTATTGTGGCTGCTATTTTTTACTTGTTTAGCGCCCTATTGTGGCTGCTATTTTTTACTTGTTTATCGCCCTATTGTGGCTGTTATTTTTTACTTGTTTAGCGCCCTATTGTGGCTGCTATTTTTTACTTGTTTAGCGCCCTGATGTGGCTGCTGTTTTTCTATTTTTGTTGTGATTGTATTGAATTATTATTATTGATTATTGTGCACCAAGTGTTTACGTTGAAAATACTGTTCATATTGTTTTACTCATTCAAAAATATTCTATTTTTAATAATTTTGCAAATGTTCGTTACAATTTGTAATACACATTTAAAAATCTATGTATCGACAATGATGATAGATTTGATTAATTATTGACACATAAAAATTAGAATTAATTTGTAATTAAATTTTAATTAGGGTCCTTAGAAGTGACTATTCGTTGTTAGAGTTGGTGATATATCAATTCTTGAATCGTTATGCGTAATTTGCAAAAGCCATTGATATCAAAATAGTGTTCATTTTTGTAAATTTTTGGAATGTCTCTGCGAAAATCAAAGTTTCCTCGGGACTGTTGCTGAATATAACTAATGAAAAGCTTGCAGCTGAAAACATATATGCAAATACAATTCGATCCTTCATATTGATAGCAAATTTTCAATTAGAGTCGCTCCCAATTTGCTGAAACTATTTTGGTACGAAAACAATTTAAATTTCGATACAATAAGATACAATTGTTTCGATTTAAATGTCTGTTTCGTTTTTTGTTTTATATTCTCCAAAATTTAGTCTTGTTCGATTTATACAGAGACGTATTGAATTTTAAATTCAGTTGTTTAATAGTCTTTTTTCAGTCTTTTCTAGTAAATTCATTTTTTTATTTTTTGTATACTGGATAAAAATGTCTGACACTTACTTGTCCTTTATTGCTACTAATCCCTTCTTTTTCAGCTTTTAATCCAAAGGATTAATTTTTGTTTCAGGTTATTTATAGAAATTTTCTACACTGAATCCCTGTTTGCCAAAATGAAGAGTCAACAATCTCAAGAAATTGGATATTATGTTTCTAATTGTTGTAGTTTCTGTTTCAGGAATCCTCGTGGGATCAAATTTTAAATTATTGAATTGAAATGTCGATAAAAATGTATTGTTATGTTCTTCTATTCTTATTGTATGTTATATGTGTATGTTCTCTTATATTTCTGTTCCAGAAATCATCCTAGGATTGAATTAATGCTCGCTAAATTATTATAAATTATTAACTGTCCACTGATATGATATTGTCCACTGAGTTTCTCTTTCAGAGATCATCTTGGAATCAAGCTACATGTTCATCTGAATGAATTGTTTATAATCTATAAAAATGTTTTGTTATAATCCTCCTAGTTTCTGTCGAGGGATACGTTGCAGCGAGGGGCGTTCCTAGTGATCAAATAACGGATACTCAATTATTGGACTTCTACTATAATTCACGAATTCACCGTTCTCATAACGTAGAGGGCAGCAAAAAATCTCTGACTGTTTCGATCGGTATTTTAGAACATGAGACGCAAAGTCCCATAAGATGATAAGTCTATTTTCTATCTCGTCTGTGTTGGTACTTAGTGCCTATAGTAATGTCGTTCTACATAAAATTCAACACTACGAACAATAGTATCTTGTCATCATTCTTTAAATGTGTCAAATAAAACTACGAAAATTATCATTTATATATACATGACAATTGTGCATGCACACATATACGTACGTATTTAGTTGCGTTTCGCCTAGTTTTCACTCGGATGAGTATTTGTAATGTGCTTTTTGAAATAAACCTTGCCATATGGCAGTCCATTATATTTGATCCAGAATACATTTATTTAAAAGGAAACTAATTTATATTTAGATTACGGAAATGGCGCCACAATTGCAAATTTTATCTAATGTTTTAGAGGTAAATACATTTTCAGTGCTCATAGAAAATTAATTCTCTAATGTACACATGACACTTTTGAATGGTCATAAACATCTTCATTTTTCAGCGTTTGAAAGATATAAAAGATAGTGTGACAGGTCATCTGTATGGTGTTATGTATAATAATACATTAACAGTATTAACATTTAGTGTAAGTATTGTAGACAACATTGAAGGCAATATAAACCATACAATGTTGCAACTGCATATGCCAGCAGAAGTATACCTCTGTGGTGTTTTACATATTGATGAATGTGAAAAAAAACTTCCTGATACTTTTCAGGTAAGATTTAAAAGTATAAAATGATTTTATACTTATGGGTTTATAGTTTCATACTCAATAATAAGTCATATTTGAAATCACAATTTAATATATTTGTTCCATACCTCTTAGGACATTGACATCACAGATAATCCATTATTTTTAAAATACTCCCACCAACATACGAAAATAGAAACATATTTTTATATTCATCAAAAACTTGAACCTGTCAACAATGTGAATATCATTAATGAAAGTGATATTCAAAAAGAATTTATCTATATCAGATTAAGAGGAAACTTGCCATTAATTGCTCAAAATGGTAATGTACCGGAAGTGTTAGAAGAATCAAGAAAAAATGTAAGTCTCAAATATTTAATTAATATTTTTAATAAAGCAAACATTACAATTATTATGTAGCCATATAATCGGTTTTAATAGATTGCATCTGGAAAAATAGGCATTCAATTTCCATCAAAAAATGCTTTTCTTTTTAATAATAATGGAAAGGATGCATCTTTGAGAGAACTTTTAGATATGCCAGAATATTATGAGAAAACTGCAAATGTAAAGAAGGGCATTATGCGACCAGCTGGTATTGTGGTATAGTTTCTTTCACTCTTTATAGTAATTTCTATTTCTTTATTATCTAAAGAGAATACTAATCTTATTAAATTCAACAGGATGTTGTGAATGCTAATATACTCTTAAAACTAACTGGAGATAGACCTTCTGAGGAATATATTAAATATGCTCCTGTACTCCAATATGTAAAACGTACATATTATATTATTTATTATACAAAAAATTATAAACACTGTGTTTCCAAATACTTTCTAATAATAAGTATTATATTCATGTTCTAGGACCATTTCAGAGTTTGGAATGTAATTTATGTATTGACACACTATCTTTGGTTAATCTGAATGTAAGTTCAGCAGATTTATATGGAATATTGGTAGAATCCATGTGCCGGAATATTAAGTTAATAGAAAAGTGTTTTGAGGATCAGATGAAACAACCTGAACATTCCATAAAACTGCCTGTACCCATACATTTTAAACCCCAAGGTTTAGGACATTTGCTTAGTGTAGTCTATCCAAATGGCCACACAGATAAAGAAACGGGTAAATTTGTCTCAATTAACATTTTATAGTATATTAAAATTATTTTGCAAATCTAATTTGATTCTTAAATTTCAGTGGAATATCGCGAATGCTTACATAAAATTTTAGGATTAGACATGACCAGACCTCGTTTCCGCAATGGAAATGCTGTAAAATTTTATAATGAGTCACAGACAGATAGTACACTCACAAATCCTCATGAAGCAATTTTACAAAATGATGGTACAGATTTTATATTGTAGATTATCTTAACTTTCACACATTATATTTTATACTGTATCACTTCCCATTGCAGATATACTGAATGGTACACAAGAGATAGGAATTGTACAAGGTTTATATGCATATCATCATTATATGCAGGACAACTTTGATGATAATGGTTGGGGATGCGCATACAGGTCTCTGCAAACAATTATTTCCTGGTTCAGGTACTATTGATCCACATGGTTTTAACAGCCTGTACATCTATAGAAGTAATATTAGTTTTCATCACATTAATAATATGTTGTATCATTTTAGATTACAGGGTTATACTGAAATACCAATACCTTCTCATCGTACAATACAGAAATGTTTAGTTGATATAGGAGATAAGCCCTCGAATTTTATTAATAGTAAACAGTGGATTGGTTCCACAGAAGTAGGTTTTGTACTAGAAGTTCTTTTAGGCATTAATGTTAAGATACTTTGTGCATCTACGGGTGAAGAAGTTTCAACATTAGCTTCAGACTTAATTCATCATTTTCAAACACAGGGTACACCAGTAATGATTGGTGTGTAATATTCTTTTTCTTTTGGAGTAAAATTCTTTTCTTTTTCCTTTTAATATATTTGTAAATATTTTCTAGGTGGTGGAGTCTTGGCACATACAATCTTAGGGGTTAGTTATAATCGAGATACTGAAGAAGTTAAATTTTTAATTTTAGATCCACATTATACAGGTGCAGATCATTTACCAAATATAATCAACAAACGTTGGTGTGGGTGGAAAAGTAAAGATTTCTGGAAGAAAGACGCGTTTTATAATATGTGCCTTCCTCAAAGGCCACTCTGCATCTGATTGTATTAAATTCAAGCATAAAGAAAGATTTTAATACCATCACACTAGCAGTGTTTAAATAGACTTGTTGCCAACTAATAAATTAAAAGCAATGTGGTATGCAATTAATTACTACACTTTTAAATGGATATGCAACTTTGAAATATCATATTTTGCAATACAGTTATTACAGAATGAAAGTTGCCATCCAACTGTTATAATAAGATAAATTATTACTGTGTTATTTAGTATAAATCAATGGCATCCTGCATGAATTTCTTTAAATTCCCAGGAGTAAGAAAAAAGCATAGTATTTAATGTTAGATACAAATTCATTCCAGGTTTCCATATTGATATTTTAATGTAACCTGTTTTTACTTTTTGGATGGGGGGGGGGCACTTCTTTTATATCAATATCCAATTATCTAATTTATAAAGTTGAATGCATTTATGTTTGCAATACTACTATGTTGAGAAATTATTTTGCAAATGTAATATACAACATTGCACACACTGTTTACAGGATAAAGAATATATTTATTATGTCTTGAGTGTTAAAATGTTTTTTACATAATTCTCAAAGGAAATAATAAAATTTTAAGTTTACATATAGGTTTACAGATATATTTTGTAAAGTGTAACATAAATTAACTGTTTTGTATAAATAAACTTAAAGAATAATTTTGTTGAAAACATAACTTATAATTTATCCAAAATAGTTTTCTACTTTGGATTAATATTTTATTTTCAATGTTCTATAACAGCTACAATTATTTTACAATCAATAATCTACATGCCTCCTGCACTTTTTTGTAGAAGTTGTGCAAAACGATTTGTAATTAAAAGGGAAACATCTATAAACCTATCAACACAATTTTGCAAACATGTTTCTGTCCGACTGTCCAATTTGCTTCCTGGTTTATCAACACATTTTTCCCAACAAAAGTCGTTGAATTCATGAATCTAAAACGTATGGACAAAAACTTTTATGGACCTTAATTACTAATAAATGCATAAACTCTAGAGGTGTATTATTCCATATATATATTTCGCAATTACTTTTGTAATGATAAAAAGTTTCGAACGGTAAAAATCTAGTGATAAAAAGTTAACCTAGCAATAAGAAGTTAACCTCCTTGAAATGTCAGGAATAATATTAAATGATTTAACAAAATTACGAGTTATGCGATATCTAATCCTTTTAAAATTACATTATAAAAAATAATTCACCTGAGCTTGAAATTGTGCCTTCTGCTTTTCTGCTAAAAGAAATTCTTGTAACTCAGCATCCACTTCTTTGGACTTATCACCTTGGAAAGATGAGTTATTACTGAATAAGTCAGACATATCTTATTCGTATAATGTAAAAAATCTAAAGAATAATTTTCAAGATTAATAATGTACTAAATCCAAAACACACGTGGTCGTTAATACTGATAGTCACCACGAATGTAATCACGTATATGTGAGTTCTGTGAAGTTCATACAATGCATCAATTGTTTATCATTGTTGCCAACCATGACGCTTTATTGGTGACTAAGTGACTATACGAAAAACATTCAGTATTTATTTCATTAAGTATATACTTAAAAATAAATACAAACAAAATAACCCAAAATGTAATAAATATTTGTATACGATCAGTGACTTCAATAATATCCTCACAATTCATTGTTTGTGAATGATCTAGATGTATAACAAATTAGGACAGTAAAAGTAATTTATTTATTATTATAATAATGCAATTTAGTATTTAAAATCAAATATGTATAATTTTATATATTATTGCTATATTTAATAAGTTGATATTTAATAATTTTGACTTATACAGCACGATAATGGATATACATATGCCGTTTCAAAGTTAAAGAAAGACTACGTTTATATCATATGCGCGATATATCTTCGCATATATCGATTAAGATCTTAAATATAACGATTCGTTATTGATTACTATTTAAACTAGAAATACAAAAAAAATAAGTGTGCAGTAAGTACTTTTGTTTTAGTACTACAAGAATGTAAATACAATAAGGTGGTATTTTAAAAAATATAAAAACCGAAGTACCAAAAATAGTAAACATAAATAACTGAAAAAGTGTTTATACGAAATACTCTTTCAAAGTATAACTTTTAGTCAGTATATATAAATATATTACAGTTGTCTTTCCGTTAATATATATATCTATATATACAACGAATTTCAAGCATAATTATCGATATATCTATGATACAAATTTATAACACATCGTGGCACTGTTTGTATTATTAAAGATTTGCTGAACTTTCATTTCGCGATATTATATCTCAAAACGTCATTCATGGCGAGCATTTACTTATATTATAACCAAAGGTTAAAAGACAATGCAGCAACAATACAGTTACGATTGTATGAACGGACGCTTTCAAACTGCCTATCAACGCAAAACAAATTTGTATGTTGTCTGAATTCAATTTCGTCACATTCATTAATATTTAATATAGCCGTCGCCATGGTATCACGCCACTTCTAGAAGAGTATTATTCGTGTACCATAGTGGGTACAGGTGGACGCGCGCGAGTGCAACGCGTCGAAGATCAACAGTCTGCATCACGTGCAATTGATCATGCCACTTGTGGATACGGCCCTGACTGCCGGCGGGTCTGTTAGCCGGCGCGGAACGTAGCGGCGCTGTATTTCAGGATCCGTCGTCGACGCCGTCATCGGGTATCGTGGTCCCGTGAATACGTCGCGTTCTAACGATCATCATTCTCTCGAGGGAGAGAAATCGAGCGGAGCGTAGAGCTGACCCGTGTACTTTCGGACGTGCGTAGTGCCGTGCGCCTGAGTCACGACAAACATTACGGTGGTGTGTGCGCGCGCGCGTTAATTTATTCGATTTTATGATCATTGACAATGACCGCGTCCGTGGAGGATTACTACGACGGTTCCCGGACTTTTTCCTGGCTCGCGGACCTCATCGGCTTGCCGATCGACCAGGTGAAAAAAAAAAATTGTTTACTTTCATTTCGTTTTCGTATTATTTTGCACTCGCCCGCCCGCCCCTCTTATTGGTCTCCCAACCGCCGAAAAGGAGGGCGCATCGATCGAACTTGGATTACGCCAGGATCACCGTCTTGCTCCTATTTCTTATCCTTGAGAGATTCGTCTTAGTATTTGATGCTGCTGGTTTTATTTTCTTCTTAGCGATGGAAGTCAAGGTTAAGGTTCGACATGCTCCGATACCACGAAGTCTCGCAAGCCTTATTACGATCACAAACGTTTCCACTTATTTGTTCTCTCGTATAAACACAATAACGTTGCGAATACGTTCCGGAATTCCGCCGTGCAAAGAATGAAGTGACAATTGGTTGTTCAGACCGGTTAACCGTACATTAGACCGTTCAGTGTGTATTGTAACTTATACACGGCGTACGCGCGTGGGACAGATATAAACATCGTCATTAAAATCACTTTCGCAGAGTTTCTCTACATTTTACTTGTATCAGCTGTATTGGATTGTAGACACGATTCTGATGTGCTACATTTTTAACCTGTACATGTATGAAAGTGGATCGTTTATGTATACAGGCACGTTGTTATTAACACTTTGACTGCCGTCACCCACGTCTGGATGACACATCGTTCAATTTGAAGCTACAAATTCGTATCCAGAGTAAAATGTTTCATGAAGTACATTTAAGGTTCAGAAGGTTCGAGAAGGTTAGAAGAATAAGAACTGTGAAAAATGTCTTGTACAGTTTTCATTTGACCTAACCCTGTGAAAGTTTTGTGGGTGCTGATCCGGCAGTCGAAATGTTAAACCTCGATGTCATAATGTGACCTGATTTCCAGAGTAACCAATTCATGGAATACTTCTAAATGAATATACTCACACGGTGTTTAAGGATTGTACGAAGGATTCAGAAATAGATATAGTTTCGTATGTTAATTCTCAGATCAACGTTTAGCTTATCCCAGTGAATGTTTGCGATTTCTGCATGCACTGTTCCCACAATAAGATATGATTTCGTGTGCTATCTTTACGACTGCCTTATGTCCACGATTATCGAGCATGATAAAGCTGCCGGGGCGCGGATAAATAATCTCTATTAAGAACTCGCATGAATCGCATGTAACGGCAGGAAATTCACAAAACCGATAGACGTCTCTGCGAATATGAGTATGTATACGCTGGAAATAGAATGACCGATGAGCGCATTGAGAGACGATTCGAGCCATACTTATAGGCTGCTATCGGATGCAACAGTTGGGAAAAAGGCGAGTGCAGCATGGACTGGTTCCGTGTGAGTAACCAGGTTTACGATAAGCACAACTTTTCACAATGGAAAAGATCTCTTAATAAAAAAAAACAATAATGAATATGTACATATTTATATACGTTAAGTCACGCGTTGGTTCTTATATGATTACGTTACAACTACTGAAGTTACACAATATTCGAATAACAGTACGACTGGAGGTTTTATCGTAGAGTAGAACTCCGTTTTTTGGGCCGAAATTTTACTCAATAATCCATTTACTAAACTTCCGCCGTGCTTCTATTATTTGAACCATTATCGAGCTTCGTAAAGAATACGGAAATGTGTTTTAGAATTTGCAATCCAGTTATCCGAACGTAAACTATAGTTATTTCAATAAATATATTCAATAAATCATCCAGTTAACCAGACTGTCTCGTTTTTGGGTTCAGATAAATGCAAGTTTTTTTGATCGACATTTATTTTTATTGCTGCAGGTGAATACACAACAGTAAGTCGTGTGTTTACGTTCTACAAACTGGTTGCAGTCTTTATTACTGATTGCAAGGTAGTGACTGCTCCCGGAAAATTGGCTTGCGGTTACGAACAACGGGCTCGCGATTTTATGGCCGTTAAACGGTTCGAAAGGTGCCGTTTGATGTGGTTCTTGTCGGTGTTATATTTAGAGAAACCTTTATTTTTATTCGTTCAATTCAGAACACGCTGAGAAAAGTATCATGACCGTTTAAGACCGTATTACTCGGCGGCGCCAATATTATTACATGTCCACCGGTATTCTTTATCTGTAACGGATAATCGTTATCTGTATCATAGGACGAAACTATATTACGTGATACACTTAACATACATTTTTACGCAATAATTTCTTCGTTTTGCCATTTTCATTAGTCTCATGAGTTCACATAAGACGATAAAAAGAAGTGAATGTAGGGTTCAGGTAAATCATTCACCACTATGCATATTGATACAGTAAATTTTTATTTTTATTATTCTTTTTCAATGGTTTCCTTGTTCGACAACACACTGTCATGCGTATGCAAATGTAATTTTTTTCTTGATCACACGGTCGTTCCCCTGCGTTATAAATGCCGCAGCTTGTTTTATATGTATATTGGAGAGCGTCGATAAATTTTAATTTTAGAACCGCGGGGGATATTTGAATGGTATCGATCGTGGCCGATACAATTCGATGCAGAAATGCGTGAGAATAGATGTATTATTTGTCGTGTTTGCAAGTCTATCGGTTGAGCTATCAGTTGCATCTTCTATTAATTTTTTTCAATTTATGATTTATGATAATGGTACGACCATGTATTGATTCTATGATATAGTGCTGTCTAGCATAAACTAGATAGAACAAAGGAAAATATTGTTCTCACATACAATAGAGGAGCCTATTATTCAGTGTAGTTCGATGAACACTTGGAATCGATATATTTGATGAGTATTTGGAAAATTGTCGTTTAAAAGTTACTTGGTCTACTGGATATCATAACGGGATTTATTCCACTTTCCATTTCTAAAATGTATCCTCGCAATAAGATAACAGACAAAACTGTTCTTCAATTACAGTCGCTATTTAGCAGCGATTCATAGAAATGAATTATAAGAGCAGAACTGTCTTTCCTTCGCAGATAATAATTTACTGCCAAGATTACCGAAGGAAAGAGGAGCGACGTGTACAAACTTTGCACGCGATTATCTTACGAGAGAGTGATAAAAAATTAATGTTTCATTCACGGTCACGTGAACATCGCGCTGACCTCAATTTCTAGATCGGTGAATTTATGAATTTAGTGTCCGCATATTTGTAATCGAGAACAGTTGCACCGCCCGTAAAGGAATGTATCGGGTGCTAAAGTTGTAACGTAACTTGAGGAATGTGTAACAAAACCCTGGTGTTCCCTGTTTTCAAGAAGCATAACAGGATCCTGTTTCGTTCGAGCAGACCTTTAACTCTTAAGAAAAAGTCCACGCTAGACCTGGCGTCCCGTTATCCTAAACAGAAGAATCATCATTTGACAGTTAGATAAAATACAGTATCAGTATTAACATCAATACAATATTTTTATCGTTCACTTACCACTGATTCTCTAGTCTAAAATGTTAACTATCATTGTGAAAAATTACCAATTTTACATATTCAGTGTTACCATTAAATTCTTTTTTCAAGAAAGCATTCCTACGTCAGTGTTTATATTTTTTTTTTTCTAGAATATAGCAATGTAACTGCTCCGAAATGACACGAAACACCCTGCACAATATAAATTCCTTGATATACATATGTATACGTATAAGTCGGAAGATTTCGTCATTGAAGGCAATTGCAATCAGTCACCTTGGTGTTTGTGCCACGCCCACATTAGGTACGACTTGATATTAGTTCAGTACAGTAAGTCTTTCGAGAACTTTGAGTTCGACGAATTATTTATAGTCCCCAAAAATATTCGTATGTCGCGTTTCTAACGTACAAGGTGTCATTACGCCAAAGAACGAGTGAAAAGTGCAGGAAATACTTTTTGTCCCTCCCACTTCGAGGAAGATCGCTGAATATCCGTTACGTACACGTGCACTTAAACTTGGCCTCTCGTACGCCTTGGTCTGTCGGACACTGTCATTAACTACTTGCAATTTTCCGTTCGTATTTCTTATACAGAATAGTAGGTAAACATATTTATACTTCCCTAATCTTTATGCATGTTTAGAAGATCACTGACAAAAAAAAGAAGTGTTATCCTACTTCTACTGTTACAGGCAGAATTGTATTTTGAATTTAACCGCAATTTCACCGATGTCTTACATGACTGGTTTCGAATGACATGTACCTGGAACGTTCCCAGCCACGTTCGTTTCATAAATTCCGAAAGCTTACCGTCTTCCTGGAAATCGTTCACGATCGTAGAAGTATTCTTTGCTCTGATGTCAGCGCGATCCATACAGACCAGATCACGCGTTTTACAATTGAGCGTTAGACACGCCTTGCGGACCTACGATTAAGAATCGATGACTCATTAGTGTTCTCACGTATAGTTACGTACCTATAGGATGTACTTTCACGACGCACTCCACGTTCGCCGCAATAAGGAGTCGGAACATGTACATATTTGCCCGTTGCTTCGTGGGTGGTAGCTATTTCCAGGCGTTAGCCTTACAGGAAAAAGAATTCTTGTTAGTGGAAAATACCTGAATGGATCTAGGTAGCTTCTGGTCGAGCGTACAGGTTCGAATTCTGGTTCAACAGGATCGATCGGTAAACGCGTTGTACCACTACAATTTCGTTTTCATTCAAGTCTTCCGCCGCACAGTGAATATACGCGAATGTATTCTTATCGGTTGGGCCATAGGCTGTACAATTATAAACGGCAGGAATCATTGGCGTATAGCTCGAATGGCGCCTAACATTCCAGGCATACTTTACTCAGGTATATTTGTGTCTCGTTGTGCTTATACACGGAGTCAGTTACCATGGCAGGCCTTAGAATAATGGGAATATATTATTGGTGCGTGAAAAATATACCGAGTGTTCTATAATAGTGATGAACAACCATTTTTTTTTGCTGTAGGACAAAATCAATTATTTTTTCATTGTGAAACGAAAGGAATAATCGATGGGCTGCGGATTGTTCATCGCTGATCGTATTGCTGTAATTCCAAAGTGAAGATTGTATACGAAAAAATGGAAAATGAGAGTGAAATTATAAGCATTGGTAACCGTTT